TAGGCGAAGGTTATACGAGCTTTATGATGAAAGATCATACAATAGTAGTGTTATATTTAGAGATTATGTAAAAACATATTCTAAAATATTTAAAAAAGTGTGCTCCACTGCTAAGGCTTTACATTTAAGAAACAAAATTAAAACTGCATCCGACAAAATTAAAATGACCTGGAGAATAATAAATAGTGAAACGGGCAAGGTCAAACCGCGCAACTCGGATTTTCAATTGAACATTAACAATAATTTAACGCGATCTGATCAAGAAGCGGCTTTTGAGAAACATTTTACTGATGTTCCTTTCTTGACAACAAAATCTTTAAATTCTTCTCCTACTGTCGCCAAATCATTGCTCAAACAAAATATAAAGGCTTGTACAAATAATTTTAAATTCGATAGAGTACTGCCAAAAGATGTCGTTAAATATTTTAAAACTATTGATGTTAAGAAAACGGCAGACTTATAGGGGATTTCCGTTAAAGTTATTTTATCTATAATAGATATATTAGCACCTTATCTAGCCACTATATTTAATATAAGCGTCGAATCTGGTGTGTTTCCTGATTTAATGAAACATAGTAAAGTCCTCGACCTCGCTAATTTTAGACCAATTTCTGTACTACCAACATTAAGTAAAATTTTTGAAAAAATTATTTTAGATCAGATGTTAAGTTTCTTTAATATTAATAAATTTCTACATAAAAATCAATTCGGTATTACAAGGGGTCGCACGACGACTGACGCTGGAGTTGAGTTTATTAAACATATTTTTTGTGTATGGGAGAATTCAGAGGATGCTTTGGGTATATTTTGTGACCTTTCCAAGGCCTTCGACTGTGTTCACCATGAGAAATTAATCAGAAAGCTACAGTACTATGGTATCAAGAACACAGCGCTTAAATTTATTATTTCATATTTAAGTAATAGAAAGCAGAAGGTTATTATCAATGGTAAAAGTTCTTCCGGGTCACCTGTACTAATGGGTGTTCCTCAGGGCTCGATCCTCGGCCCATTCCTGTTTCTGGTGTATATTAATGACTTACCTCACCTTGTAGGGGATAGTCATGATGTAGTATTATTTGCTGATAATACTTCCTTGATTTTTAAACTTAAACGTCAATCATTTAAATGTGACGAAGTGAATAATGCTATATCAAAATTAGTGCATTGGTTTAACGTTAATAATCTGCATTTGAACGGAAATAAAACTAATTGTGTTAAATTTACAACAACGAATGTTAAAAATCTGAATACCAATGTGTTTTTAAATGGGGAGGAATTGAGCCCTGTTGTATCCACTGTTTTTCTTGGCATCACTCTTGACACAAAGCTTCAGTGGGACTTCCATATAACCAAATTAGCAAGCAGACTAAGTTCTGCAGCCTATGCTGTAAAAAGACTAGAGGTCTCACTAGCGTCGAGACAGTTAGATTAGTTTATTTCAGTTATTTCCATAGCATAATGTCTTATGGGATTTTGCTATGGGGAAATGCGGTTGATTCAGAACTATTTTTGTTTTACAGAAGAGGGCCATTAGAGCTATTTACAATTTAAAACCGAGAGAGTCTCTTAGAGATAAATTTAAAGAAATAAATATATTAACTTTGGCCTCTCAGTATATTTACGAAAATTTAATGTATGTTCACAAAAACAAAGATAGTTTTAGTAAAAAAAAATTGGTTGTCTGTAAAGTCGGTTTACTGACGATAGTTGAACGTAACGCCGATTGTGCCTCTTTGTCGCTCGTTCCGCGCTCTCGCTTGCACTTCAAGCCTTAAACAGAACGCCTCAGAGCGAGGTAACGCCACATGAGTCATGTTTTTTCGTGCGTGCAGCCAGCTTCATTGAACTATAAGACGTTGTCACGTCAAAAAAGTGATATACATTCTGTAAACACTAGGAACAAACACCAGCTAGTGATGCCAGTTTCTTGACTCCACAGAGTCAGTAATTCATTCTTGGGGCAATGTATACGCTATTATAACAAGGTCCCGGAAAGTGTACAGGTTCTCTCTATTACCAAGTTTAAATGTTTTATTAAACTGAAACTGTATAAAAAGGGTTATTGTAGTATAAATGAATACATGGTTGATAATAACCCCTGGGAATGAGGTGGTCGCTTCCAAGCAGTTTCTAAAATAAATTTTGTAAATAGTTCGTAATAAATGATTACATTACATATACATTTTTTACATTTTGTAAAATTTATTTAAAAAAAAGTCCCGCTGGGTTTCTTGTTGGTTCTTCCCAGGACAGAGGGTTTTTTTTCGAACCAGTGGTAAAGTAAAAAATGACTTTCAATAAGAATTACACATGTAATGTATATTGAATAAAAAAAATGTTCTATTCTAAAAACGTTTGTTCTTTTTAAGGGTAAAAACATTAGGTTTTTAACACTGATTGGATTAAATTGCTTTTATGTGTAAAAATACTATGTACACATCGCTAGGCTTCTTTTTTTCATAGTATAAGGGTTACAAACGAGCACACAGTCCAGCTGATGGTAAGTGGTTGCTGCGGCCCATAGACATCTACATCTATCCTCTTTTGCGAATCAAAATGCAGATGCGTTGACACCCGTGAGGACTAAGATGGAATGTCTCATTTCCAGTAAAAAGGGCCTCCGGCTACCTGCACTCACCAAGCGAAACGCAGAGGTAAACCTCTACTTCACGCTGGTATTCTGTGAGGTCGTAGTAACACCCCGGTGCGAGCCGGCCCATCCGTGCAACAGCAAAAGCTGCCGCGTGGCTCTACCACTGTTAAAAACTGCTTCTACACAGAGGTACCTATGTACATACTATTCGCAGAGATCGTTTACTAATTGTCACTTTCAAAATGAGTGCTCTTTATAGCTAATGTTTATAGATGAATCTATAAAAAAATATTTATAACTAGATTATTACAAATAACTTTGAGTTTAGTTATATAATCGAATGCTTAGCAAAATGTTACTTTAGAGGGATATTATCTTTTGCTACATATAAATGAAACCTAATTAACATACGTACACATAATTGTGGAAGTTTAAATTAAGTTCACTGATGAAATAACTGTTCGTTTTAGTTGGGTTCAAATGCAATGATTGCCACAAATATGTTTTAACATATGAATCTTTTTAATTGGTGCAAGTGCCAGCTATTTCACCCATTGCTTGCATCTGAAAACATAATAAAAAAAAAATTCAAAACTAAACTACAAAACAATTTTTTTAACCCATAACTTTAAACAATAAAAACTAATAATAATTACTACCACAAATGTTGAGTACCATTTACTTTGAGTTAGAATGAAAATAAAAATAAACTATAAGTTTAAATAATCAAACCGCAACATTTTGGTCTCAAAACTAAAATACAAAATAAATCTTTTTTTTAAACTTCAAATTTCAACAAAAAAAAAACTATAAATAATTATTGCCACTAATGTTCAGTATCATTTACGTTGGTCTAGAATGAAAATAAAATAAAAATATAATTATAAATAATCAAACGACAACCTTTTGGTCTCAAAACTAAAATACAAGACAAATCTTCTTTTTAAACTTGTGTAAACAAAAAAAGTAAAAAAAATTATTGCCATGAATTTTCAGTTAAAGAAATTTAAAACCTAAATTCTTCTTCGTCTGTTTCCTAAAATACGGTTTCGTTTATACCTGACAATATTTCCCGCTATCGAAAATAATCTTTCGGCTGGCGCGGAACTGGCCTTCACAAAGAGGTATTTAAGAGCCAATTCGGTTAGTTTAGGGAAAGTTCCTTATAGCTTCTCCATAATATATTGAGGGCATCTGCCTCTAGATTTGATAGTGGTGCCGCACTATATAGGTCCAATTCAGTATTTTTGGCTATTTACGTGATGGCTGCTATTTTTTTTTATTATAATATACATTCGTCACCTCTAGGTGTTTTACAAGACATTTTTATTGTTTAACAGTTGAAAATATACGAAAGGCGAAATTGTTTTACATACATAGAGATACATACAGATAGCACCGTCTTTTGATGGGCTTATTCATGTTAGCGAACTTACTTCATGTTTCTTCATCTGTCGCACTGTTCTTTTGATCTACTTATTCATGTTGTTGAACTTACTTCACGTTTTTACATTCATTGCACAGATGACGCTGATTACAAAAATCGATTAAGCTCGTAATTTACATAATCGATTTATTTAAAAATGAACACTTTTTAAAATCGACTATAAGAAAAAAATAATCGATTGATATGAAAATCGATTAATTTTTCACATCCCTACTTGTTAGTTGACAAGAAAAACCAAGAGTTGCACAACAATATTTTGTTTTTCTTTCTCCAATGTTCTATACATGAATCATCATATCAAACAATATAACAAATTCAAGGTTTATATAAATTAGAGTCTCAGCGTAGAAATTACATTCTCTTTGTAAGTGTCGGGTAGTTTCATCGTGCATCAACAATACTGCTGAATATCACTGAATTTCTGAAGTTTCGTGTTTCTTTATTATACATTGAATCGTATTAATTCATATTGACGGTGAGTTTGTTTTTATGTTCTTCCCACCATCTTATTTTAACTACTTTGGCCTAAAATGTCTTTGTTGGAATTGCATTTGTAAACAAAATGGCTTCCAAATAATTATGCCGAAGCCGAATGAAGTAAATTGTACCTATTTTGTGCTAATTCTAAAAATTGCTGATTATCTTGAAACAATTGGTTTCAGGATGAATATTTTACGTAAGTTAACTATGTTTTATTACACTTTTATTAGCTTGACCTGCATTTAAATAATATCAATGTATGTACCTAGGTAATAGAATATTTTATTCAGTTACATAGAGTTATTATGTATACGTAGTACATTATAATTCAATGTTGTTATTCATCCACTTTCAGACCTACGAACTGATGACTATGCAAAAATTTGATGTCTATGTTAGTTTTTTTACTAAGGTCATCATAGTTCATGAATGTTCATTGATTTAGTTTTTTTTTAAACCTTATTTTATTATTTTGCAGCAATGGGGGATAAAGTGCCGTTTAAAGTTTATGCTTACTGGAAAGACCAAACTAAACCTGAAGTCCGTAGGTTTGCAATTGAAAAGTCTGTAGTGACTAGCTTCTGTTACCTTGATGCTAAGCTTCAAGATGTATATCCTAGTTTGAGGCAAAAACGTTACACTGTGTCCTGGAAAGGTAAATACTATACTATTCTGTATTATTCTCCTACTTCTATATTATTCTGTATCTTTTCACCAATTATGTTGTATTCTGATGCAATATGATTCAATCTGATTGTTCCATCCACTGTTTTTCTTTTCATTTTATGCCCAGAAAGTCTTCAAATTTTTTATATAATCTTGATTTATTGTATAAATTTTATTGTTTTTCATTTTTGACAGAATATAATTGTATCAATATACAGTAGTGTAAAATTACATAGAATGCTTGTATAATTATGGGTGTTTATATATAAAAAAAAATCCATTCAAATATGATATCTAGTCTTCAATTTCTTTTTCGGCAGTACAAAAAAGAAAAAGCGGTTTTTTACTAAACTTTATATTTTTCGATTTTGGTGGTTTCTTAGATGAAACAGTTGCAAATTGACACAGAACTAGGCTAGGAAGTAAAAATATCCAATTTGAATTGTTACTATGAAATAAAAAGGAAAATTGTTCTTATCATAAAAAGTAATGGTGGTAGTCTACAGGGTAGAGCAACACAGCAGGTATATTATATTTATAGCACAAATGGGTCGCCTTGCCCAGGGAAGACTATGCTTTTACTAGTTACCAATGTTAAATAGAAGCTTAATGCTGTTGTGTTTTGTATGGAAAGTGAAGATAACCAGACCCATTTTTAATGCAAATGAGACATTCCATTTTAGTCCTCAGGGATGACAATAATTCATAATCAAGGATAGATGTGTTGTCTCTGGGCTACAGCATTCACTTACCATGCTCTTTGTCACCCTTATTCTATAAGGGCATTTCTCTGTAAACTGGGCAACTCATTCTAAGAAAGTTTTCTCTGCAACTTTTTTGCTTATACATTTAAAAATCTTATTCAGGGAATATATCCACCTATTAAATAATAAACAGCAGATGAAACAATAGTATTTCAATATCTTTAGAAAATATTGAGTATTTTCTGAAAAATCGATACAGGGGACTGTTGCCTATGTCAGGAGACTGTGTATTTAAATGAAAATTTTAAAATTTTAGTACCAAAATTAATTTGTTTTTATTTTCATAAAACTTAGGTTTTTAGGCGTGAAGTAATTAAATATTAAAAAAACTAATAATCTAAACTAAAAAAAAAATATAAATTTTTGAGATTCTGAATCAGTGAACACATCTTCCACAATAAGTTTTGGCTTATCTTCATAAATTATTTGACCAATATTAAAGTATAGCCAACAATCACAAAAAAGCAGCTAAGATATTTCATCACTATCTCTATAGAATTTGATTTTATATCCAAAGGATTATAAAATTTATTATTATTATTTAACAGGCCAGCAGTTGCAACAACTGATATAAGCCCATATCCTATTTTCGAATCTGTGATTATTCTATTTTAGTTGTTTATCTAATCTGTTCTTGAATTGGTTAACATTTTTTGCAGATATCACTTTTGATGGTAGCTTATTCCATGTTTCGACCACTCTTTGGCTAAAAAAGTGCTTGTGTGGGTTATTATTTGACATGGCTTTGGTTCATTTCAAGTGATGTCCTCTTAGATGTGTGTTTTTTGAGTATTGGAATAAATCTTTGTTAAAATTTTCTAGATCGTAGTGTCCATGTATAATTTCATAAGTTTCGATCAAGTCTCCTCGTTCTCTGCGATCTTTCAGAGTCGTTAGTTTAAGTTTATTTAGCCTTTCCTCATATGGTATGTTTTTCAAGGTATGACTCCATTGACGTCCGTCGAGTTTGGTGTTGCTACGTATTTTTACAGAAAGATTACATTTTTATAAACACACACACAAAGTTTCAATATGCGGAAATGTAGTTTTTGAGAGAAAAGTATTGAAAATCAAATATTTTTGCAATATTTATGTCAATTCCTACCTACTATGAAACTGACGCCATTTTTTATTATTATTGTCAGTAGGGATGTCGATTCTTTCCGAAAAAGATCGAGTTTTTAAATAGATTCGAATTGTAAGCTGATGTATTGATTCCCAAAAAATCGATTTCTAAAATATCTATATTTTTTTCATGTTTGCATTTATAATGTAAATATAAATCCATTTTATGAGAAAAAAATTCCCTTCTGTGTGTAATTCCAGTCTGAAGTTGATGTTGACAAAATGGCTGATTTGTACGCTTCCACAGCTGCTTCGGGATCTTCAAACCGTTGACCGCATAATAAATCTTTCATTCTAGGGAATGTAAAGAAATCGTTTGGGCTCAGGTCAGGACTGTATGGAGGATGGCTCATCAGCTCAACGTTTTCCTGCTTCAAAAAATCATTTGTCTTCCGAGCCATATGGGTGCTCGCATTATCGTGATGTAAGGTGATGCGAAGTTTCGGGTAATTTTTTCGGAGTTCGGCTATCATTTCTGTCAAACAAACCGTGATATACCACTCAGCGGTAACCGTTCTGCGTTCCTGTAAAGGAATTGTAGCAACATGCCCCTTTTTCGAGACAAACGTAGCGACCTTTCTTTGACACGCTGCGGGAGCGAACCACTTTCGTTGGTTTGATATCATCTTCGAAGACCCAAACTGCTGACTGATGTTTTCTTTCAGGTTCGTATGAATAAATCCATGATTCGTCACCTGAGACGATATAAGCGTTGCAGAGTATTTCGGCACCAATCTACATGAGCCGCCTTTTGCTCTTCGGATAAATTATGGGGAACCCAGCGGGAAACTAGCTTTCTTACACAGCTCATTATGTAATATCGATTGAATTGCAGTCATTCCGATACTGATAACAGTCCGAATCTGCTCGTATGTCACATGACAGTCATCTAATATATTAGTTCGCACAGCTGCGATGTTTTCAGGCGTGACCGCTGTTCTTGGTCGACCTGCAGAAGAAATAGTGCTGAGGGAAACACGACCGTGTCGGAACTCGGCATACCAGCGGTATATCGTCGTTTGACTCGGTGCTTCAACATCATAAATCGAAACAAGTTCGCTGAGACATTTATCTTGAGATAAGCCGCGACGAAAATTGTGATAAATTATGGCACGGAAATGTTCACGCGTGAGCTCCATTTCTGTTAACGACGTGTCAACTTTAAACCAACATAGTTTTTGTTTTTAAACATTTTTTTTAATTGTTTAAATGTCATTAATATTCTAAGAGGCCAGTATTCAAATTCTAAAAAAGGTTTTATTGTAACCCAATACGAAATATTCTATTCCCGATTATTTCAGTGTGCCCCTCGTAGTTAAATAGAATGAAAGAAAGAAAGAAAGAAACAGATTTTATTTGGCACATGCAGCACACTCAAGCGGATTACATAAAACACATAACATTTAAGTAGTCATAGAAACAAACAAAAATAAAAAAAAACAAAAAAGAAGAAAAAACAAAAAAATTATACATAGAAATCACGAAACAGGACATTAACTACTTGTTTATAGATATGGTAAAATTAAACAAAAAAAAAAGCAAAAAAGCAAACAATAATATTAAAAGAATAATAATAATAACAAAGAACTAGAGAATAAGGAGTAATGCATAAGGTGTATTATATAGATAATCCACCCGTTAATGCTGCTCTGCTCCAAAAAGAAAAGCCACTCAGGATATGTTGGAATGTATCAGAAGCACCCCAACCCTGATTTTCAGTGGCACCCTTGTTTCAATAATCAAAAATAAAATATTGTTTCAATAATCAAACAATTTGATTAATTCCTATAGTTATTGTCTAATTTAATCTGAAGTGACTATACTGCTTTGGTGACATGTCACGGGACTGTTTTTAGAGGACTTTAAAAACGTTTTTGAAACAATAAAGCATATTTTAATGGATATTATACGCTGAGCAGAGGTAGATTAGGTTATTATTTTTTAAAGTAATTACGAAATATATAACAATCTGTGCTTTTTATGTAATATTGTCCTGAGACAACGAGTTGCCCAGTTTACAGAGAAATGCCTATAAAAAATGGTTACTGGCATGTACACGTCAATAAATTATTGCAATGAAAATACTTGAAAGTTGTTCTTGATTCTTTTCTAGTGGTGAATTTTTTTAAGTAATAACATATGACATTTAAGAGAACAAAAATTATTTTCTGCCCAATTTAAATTTATATGATAATACAATTTGAGCAAATTGTTTACAGTATATTATCATTGGTGAATCTATTAGTGACTATTTAACTTCTGAACCACAAGATCAATTGAGGCAATGTTCATAATGATATTATGAATGTAATGATACTATGATGGGACCTTCAAGAAAAGGCAGAATGACATGTTCAACTTCAAAACTTGTGTAAAAAAAATATTTTTTACACATAATATTTCGTCTATAAAGACTGTTCTTAATTATTTTTAAGCTATTGAAAACTAGATATTTTATTGAAAACAAAATGAAGTTATCAATATTAGTTGATAGTCCACAATGTCTATTTTTAATTTGATAATATGGTATTGATTTAGATGAAGAAGGTGATGATGTGACTATTTCATCTGATGATGAAATGATAATTGCCTTATCATCAATGAGTGAGAATCTCATGAAGCTTTATGTCTATTGCAATGATGAAGCACCAAAAGAGATTGAGTGTGATGTTGTGATTACTGCTACAGCTGATGATGGTGCTGGTAAGTGTACTTATCATATTAATTAATTTTCTTCTGTTAATTTAAAATCTGCACTTTTCCCCTTGTGACACAACACGTGCCTTGTCTTTCAAATGGTTTTTGTATCTCTTTTTTTTATAATGTTAATGATGCTATTAGGTAACAGCAAGTGCTGACCTATATTGTTTTATGAAAATAATGAGTATCTAAAAAATATAATGTACTCAATAAAAAGAAAAAACAGGTGGCAGGCATATATATCAACTATTTTAACTTATGTTAAGTTTGGAGATGTCTAGATCATAATCCTACTAATATTATATATAAATATGAAGGTTTGTGAGGATGTATGGATGTTTGTTACTCTTCCTCGCAATAATTACTGAATGTATTTTAATGAAACTTTATAATAATATAGTTCATACATCAGAACAACACATAGACTATACTAATAAAGATATTGTGTAAATTGGTCATCTGATTTACTTGGATCCTTTTATACAGAGCTTCGCTCTTCCATAGTTTTGAGTTTGCCATGTACAGTGAAATACTAATTTAATTTCATGGGTCAATCTATATACAGTGATTAGCATACAAAACAAAGTTTTTGGTTTCAGGAGACAGTAACTTACCTCACAGTGGTGTTGTTTGCGACATCTGTGATGCTCCAGTGGTAGGATTCAGATACAAATGTACCTCATGTGCTGATTATGACCTCTGCTCAAAATGTGAGTCTGCTGGCCACCATGCTGAGCACATTATGGTGCGTGTTCCCATGCCTAATATGCCGGTAAGTTTGATAACATAATTTACTATTAAAAAAACATGTACACAATTTTTTTTGTGTTTTATATCTACTAATAGTAAAAACTAAAAAAGTAAAGTTACTGCCCATATATGTCCCACTGCTGGGCACAGGGCTCTCGTTTCTGCAAGAGTTATAAAGTAGTTTGTTTGCCACACTGTTCCAGACTATTAGCAGACTGTACATGTCTTTAAAATATTTTTTCCTCAGACCTCCAGGTTTGATTTCATGATGTTTTACTTCACTGCCAAGCATGTGGTAAATCAGTACTTAAAATTTCAACAGGGTTTGCATGACCGAAAAATGATGGGTTATAAATTATAACGGTTAGAGGTATGATGTCGTATCTTTGTGTTGCGATATCTGAAAATAAAAATACACAAATTTTTCGGCACGAAAATTAACCATAGCGTTTTTTTCGATTTTCTTCTTGTGGTTCAAAATTACCTTAGTTTTTAATTATTTTCTTGGAATTTCTTAATTGTCATTGTCAAAACAACAAATACTTTTAGTTACACAAACAGATAATTTTGGTGACCAATATAATTTTGGTTATATAAAGGATATACAAAGGTACAACACCCCTAAAAATAGTGTCACCGTTATTTTATACTGTTGGTGTATCGGTGAATTTTAACCACTTAAATAATAGCGGTAGCATAACCTCATACCTTAACCCACAATCAAGCCCTGAATTTCAATAAATAGTATTATTGGTACTGGTGAAAATCTAACCAGAATCTTTTTTCTAATTTGTATTACAATAATTCGTGTTGGATATGAGTTTTTTGTTCTGTTATTATGATTATTCTTAAGTGATGATATCACTAAGATAAATTACTAAAAAAAGTATTATTTGTATTTAAATATCTATGAGTTTTTACTGGATGATGGTTGTCATTGCAATTAGATAATATTAGTCACTATTGATGTCTATTCAACACAAACTATTTATTTACCTTAACCATTTATTATATTATTTCTTAGAAAATGGATATTTTGTGGCTTGCATTCGTTAGAATGCTTAAAGTAAGCCTGGCCAAATTGCTTAGCATAACCTTTAAAAAAAGGCCTGGGCGACGTTTAGCTAACTAATTAACCTTTTAGGCGCGTGGCTTGGGCTTGGCTACATGCCCCTACCATGTGGCTACATATCGATAAAATAATACCTACAAGAAATAAGGAGTAGCAATTGTTGCATCAATTAAAAAATAGCAAAGTTTTTATTTTATTTTTTATTTTAAATCCTCGCCTCCGCAGCTTCGGCTTGTTGGTCGCCTCGTCCGATGCCTGCGATTTGTTACGCTAAGGCGTAGAGGTTGCTCTTCCCGCAGCGCCGGAGACGTAGCAGTCTCAAAATAGATACAGAAATCCTTATGAATCAGTCCCCTTATTTTTTTATGATGAAGGGGATTTTTTTCTCATAAAATGGATTTATATTTACATTATAAATGCAAACATGAAAAAAATATCGATATTTTAGAAATCGATTTTTTAGGTACATCAGCTTACGATTTGAATCGATTTAAAAATCGACCTTTTTCGGAAAGAATCGACATCCCTATTGACGTCGACAATGACATTACAAAATGGCGCCAGTTTATTAGCAGATAAGACATAAACATTGCAAGAATAATTGATTTTCAATTATTCTTTTCTCAAAAATTACGCGTTTCCGTATATTGAGACTTTGTGTGTGTGCTTATAATAGTGTAATCTTTCTGTAAAAATACGTATCAACACCAAACTCCACTGACGTCAATGGAAAGTCGTACCTTCTTATTTTTTTTTCTACCTTTAAAATTGACTGAAATATTTGCTTTGCTCCGCATCGCGATGTGACGTCACAAAACGACAGGTCGATGCCACCAGTAGTCTTTATTGTTATATTTTTCTTATTCTCTCCATATTTATTACTCCATATTTTTCTTGTCGTGTTATTTATTTATCAGTAACCTTTATTTTCTGTTTTTTTTTTTTAATTTCTGTTATACCACGCTCATTTTGAATAAAATGGTGACCTAAGATACAGGTTTTACCTAGTTTAGGCTCCAGTTTTTCACCTAACAATAGTATTGTATCAGATGTAAGCACATATTTTTTGTTTTCTGAATGTATATTGTTGGTGAAAATAAATAATTAATAAAATAAAATTTCATTTAATTTTACTGGAAAAAAAATCATGTAAAAGCTAAATGTTCAATACTTTAGTTTACATCAAATCAAATAGTTTATTTGTGATTCACAGTTTACATAAAGGTCTTATTTAAACACAAATAAAGTTCAGTCTGTGATCAGCCTCATGGGCATCATCATCATCATCATTACAGCCCTTCATAAGTCCACTGCTGAACATAGCCCCCCCCCCCCCCCTAGGAATGCCACAAAGTACGGTCCTGAGCCACCTGCATCCATCGACTTCCTGCATGTCTTACCAGGTCGTCACTCCATCTAGTGGGGGTTCGCCCTACACTTCGCCTACCGGTACGGGACTGCCACTCGAGAACCTTTCTTCCCCATCGGTTGTCGGTTCTTCGAGCTATATGACCGGCCCACTGCCACTTCAGCTTACTAATCCGTTGGGCTATGTCGGTTACTCTGGTTCTACTGCGGATATCCTTATTTCTAAGTTTATCTCGCAGAGAAACCCCGAACATAGCCCTCTCCATAATTGAAAGAGCGACCTTGAGCTTCCTCATACGGCCAGCAGTGAAGGACCACGTTTCAGATCCGTAAGTCATCACTGGCAACACGCACTGGTTGTACAATTTCGTTTTCAGGTTTTGAGGTATGTCTAATGAGAAGATGTGTCGTAGTTTCCCGAACGCTGCCCAGCCGAGTTGAATCCTCATGGGCATACAAATGTGAAATATTATTAATAGTTCATTGATTACACTATTCATAATAATAGATTAGATTATTAGATTAAATTATTCATCATACATAATATTGATTACATTGGATTAGATTAGATTATTTATAAATTATTAGTTCAAAATTATTATATAGTCGTTGGGTTTATTATAACTATTATGTCATCTAATACAGTTAACCGGACATTCGATATAATATGTAGGTAAACGACCGTATACTTCCGAGCGCGCACGGTTAGTACTAAACTTAGCAAGTTCCTACTGCACATTCGCTCTCTCGGATTGTGACGTTACGTCACTGAGAACGAGCGGGTAATAATTAAAAAATATTGCGAAACTTCAAAACGTTATAACTTTCGTATTTCTGCACCAATTTGGATGAAACAAAAACTATTGTTATTTTCATAAACATAGCTTTAAAGCTATATAGGTTTTATTGTCAAATTAGAAAATGTTGGTGTGACCCATTGTTTTTTTTTTAAATTTTTTTTTGCTAATCATTTACTAATTCTTAACATCACATTATATTTACACTTATTCCTCAGTATCTATTAGTTCAAATGCAATGATTTACGCATTTATAATAAATAGGTATAGTTGTTGCAATTCACGAGCGCACTTTTGCACGCGAGTGCTTGTCACTTGGTAGGTACTGTCACAATACCTTTTTAATGGTAAGGACAACATACAACATGGTTTCAAATTTGAACAATCAATTGGATATATGTAGATAAGTAATATTATAACAGAATTACATCACAATAAAAAAACTGTGTCGATTCATCAAGGAGATACTTAAACCCAACGGAAGTCTTATTTATATTAACCTATACTTACTGAATAATGTGCAATTAACATAAAAAGTAATTGAAATAGGTACTTGCCTCACCATCACTTTCGCTTTCTTTTTTCTTTCTTTTTAAAACGTTACCCCCACACTAGGATTTTCTCATGTATCGTGGAGGCAGTTTACAAACATATATTGCACGAGGACAAACATCCAGACCCGGAACAATTATTTGTAGGCCATACAAATACTTGTTCCGTGCGGGATTCGAACCCGTGACCCCCAGCGCAACTACTCATTGCTAAGCCACTGCGCCAAGGAGCCGGCGTCGTCTTCGACAGATTCGAATAATTCCGCTTCGTCGTCAGCTTCTAATATTCTTATTAATTCCTCAGTAGTCGTCATTATTGAAATGTGACTATTTTATCGACAATGCACAAATACCCACTAACAACATTAATGGAAATTTCCATTCGTTTGATCCGCTTGTGACGTAGGCAGTGGTCGTATTAATGCGACAGCCGCGCTGGCTAACTAGAGAAATTGTGTTGCAATCATACACAAAGAGCCCGAGGGATATTTTTCTTATGAATAATAAGGAAAATAATTAATAACACTAGGTACCTAATATGTTAAATAAACTTTATTTCGTATGACATTGTTTACTTTATGCTGAATGGATGCATTATACCTGATTATTTAGCTGTTTGTTATTTCGTTTTTAAAATGCGCATTGCATTGTATCCCATCCCTAAGTCATATTTATGCGACGCGCGCGATAGACACCGAAGAAAAGTTCAAGTTGTCAATTACTTATATTTGTTGCATTTTAAATAAGTATTGAGCTACGAGACATAATTTTAAGTAATTGTTGTGAATAATATCTCTATTTAATAATGATTTTAGTTGTACCACACAGTTAATAGGACGAAAATAGAACGAAAAAAATCATGTATGTTCTCTGTCGCAGAAATACGACACGAGCGTTAGGGACACGGAAATATGTGTCGCATAAATGTGACACAAGCGGTCAAAAGGTTAAATAAGATAAACAGTTTGGTTTCAGTTTATACGTTACGTTAAAAATTTAATTCCATGTGTAATTTGTATGTATTCAAATCTATTTTTTTGTAGGGATAAATGTTTCACAAAGCACAAGTATCGTAAATTTACACTAACAGCTGAATCTTGTAAAATGTGATGGTATAAATAGAAACTAAATTTAAAGAATGTGTTAGTTTATATTCAGCAGTATTGAAAATGCTGATTTACCGTCAGCCCAAACATTATTATATCAATATATAAGGCTAGGCATAATTAATAATGGCTTATAACTAACAGAGGATTCATTCGTCTGGATATTAAGCTTCATAAACCTTTAACTTTTGCATTGCTGTTACCTCGTCCGACATGTGGTTTTTTGGTTCAGTCCATATTTGTCTTAAGTCTGGTGTAGCATATGAAATTTATTCTTTATTAAAATAAAATGTTTATTGGTATTAAATATTGTTTTCATTATTACATATAGTTACTGTAATTCGAAAATTTACAGCGTACTACTATAAGAGCAGCTATTAGAAGGTCGCGTCATATTATGAAGGCAGTTGCGAGTTCTATGGCAGAGCCGGAGTGCCCTTACAAAAGACAAAAGCGGGATCGAAGCGCGGATAAGAAACGTCATCACAATCATTACGAATCCAGCCGCGGAGAGCATCATCATCGTCGCTCCCGCACTAGTTGGCTCGAAACTTTCGCCACTTATATGAACGAATTTGCAAATCTTGCTGGTGACATTGATACAGAAACCGACAAAACTAAAGACAAGGAGCCGAAGCCCAATCAAACGGAGCCTCAAGAACAACCTAAGACAACTCGGAATGCTCAAGTTCCACCTAAACAACCAGAACCAAGTACATCTAAGGCTGAAAATATTCAATGCCCATTTTCTTTTGATAAGGGTCAGGAAAATATTCAGAAACTGTTGAAAATGGTTTATGGTACTGATTTAAACCAATTGTTGTCGCAGCTTGCTGCATCTCATGCAAATAATGATGATAATAACCAAGAAAATAATAATAAGGAATCTGAAGTTGACAAGGAGAGTGTTAAATCTGAAGTATCTTCTACTTCTAGTGAGCCTAAAAATACCGTTAAGAAAGATGAATCTCCAGAGAAAGCTGATGATTGGACAGTCATCAACAAAGAAAAAGGTAAAACATACATTTGAAATACATTTTAGTATTTAATTTGTTATATTAGCAATAGCTTATTGAATATTGATATACTATTAATTTTTAGATCTAATGGATCCAGATGTCAAACCTAGTGCACCAATAGAACAACCAACAAATATTGGTTTTAACTTGCCTGAGGAATTCCAAGAACGTGTTAAAATCTCTGATGGCCTGTATCCTCCACTTCATACTGCTTCTGCTGGTAAGCTAATATATTTATTATTGAGATCATTTGTTTTATAACAGTATCTATTTTCATTTTTTTGTAGAAACTCATTAATCCATTCGAAAATGGGCACATTGGTACTGCAATAACATTTCGAGCAATGATTATAAGATCTTATTATTAATGTACATAAAAATGTTGTTCTTTTTTAAAATACTTACTTACTACTTCACTACCATTTGCTTAAATTCAGCAAATTTTTAAATTCTGGTAATACTGACGTCGGCGATGGTATCTTTACTCTTCTAAAGACTCTTTAAGTCTAGACTTGTTGGGATTGTTACTCGACGGCCGCCCGCGCTTCATGCATTGACATGCTAGTTTCCCTATTTAGTTAATTTTTTGCAAGGTAATTTTTAATTTTTTGAAAAGTATCACATTAACAGAATCATCACGCGGTACCTAAAAGCGGTCGTCGTCAACCAAAAATCTTATTTATACTTTGAGTATTAGGCTAGAATTTTTAAATTAATAATAATGGCCATGGCTGAACATGGTCACTTATAAATCAAAGGTTTTCGATTATTGCCTTACTTGGTACATGTTGGTGGGTGCATGCTATTTAATTTTATATTTTAAGACCTTTTTATCTACTATTTGTCAGTCCTAAGAAAGATTATTCTGGTATTTCTGTTAGTCAAAATTTTTACATGTGGTAGAGCCACACTACAGCCGTATTATGGCTCCAGCATAAGTGGGTCAACCTGACCAGGTAAGGATCACATTCTCATATAATACGAGCATAAAATAGCAGCATAATGTTGCTGTGTTTCATATGGTGAATGGAAAGAGATGTAGACCTTAATTTACTGGCAAAAATGAGACATTCTCTCTTAATGATTTCTTATATTTACGCGAACACTACACATTTTTAAATAAAACTAATTTTACGGATTTTATCGCGTATATTAACTTATTTTTATATTCCCGACGTTTCGGGTGCTGGAAAGCACCCGTGGTCACGGGGGACTGAGGTGTTTGACGTCCTGCTGTCATAGTTAGCCCGGCTACCTTCAGTTTTTTTTAAACTGTTAAAACTGTCAGTGTAAACTGTCCCGACGTTTCGGGTGCTTTCCAGGAATATAAAAATAAGTTAATATACGCGATAAAATCCGTAAAATTAGTTTTATTTAAAAACATTCTCTCTTAGTCTAGATTCTTAACTTATGATAGATGTAGGTGTCTATAGGTTAAGCACATAATAAAAATAGCTCTTAACAATAAAATATGGCATAGACAAAAAGAAATGTGTATTTTTATAATGTAGATATTGCATATAAGTACAGTATTTTCCACACTGCCATTTTTCATCAAATCCGTATTTTTATGTATGGAATATTATTTTCATTGCGATTGATATAACTTATAAAATTTAGTGTTGAATCCTAAAGAGCCTGAGCGTCCTATTGCATCACAAGAACCGGTTAAGCCACAAATGACTGAGACTGCAAAGCAGAAGATCTCTACTGCACAACAATCTTCCAGCCAGCCCTGGACACAACCACAAGTGTCACAGCCATCTCAGCCAATACCATGCTATCATGCTAGTAAGTACAGTGCCATAAAAGATGTTAAAACTATTTAGTAATAGTTCTTTATGTAATTGCACTAAGAACCGCAGTTCCAATTAAAAATTGCCAAACCAATATGCCGTGATGACTAGTGAATGCAATTCGGATATCCAAATTATTCGGATATTCGCCTCGTTTATTATTCGAATAGTATATTTGTAATTATTCGGTTTTTAGGAATATTTCGAATACTATCTTATTTTTTGATTTGTTATAAATATCCGAACGTAAACCTACTAAGTTACGTGAAAAACATGCGTGTATCCGATTGTGGGTGGTCATTCATCACGTAGTCAAAGCCGAAAATTAAAAAAAAAAGCTACTTAGGATGTGTGCACAGTGCAAAAGATTTTACATTTCGTATGTTTGCGATATTGTTGTCGATTTCATTGATTGATATTGAATAAAAAATTGGAATTTTACGGCTTGCCTATACAAAACGATATCTCATGCATAATCTCTGACGGTGCAAGCGTAATGTGCGCACTAGGGTGAATGGTTCCCTCTTATCATCAGTTATGTTTGGCCCATGGTATTCAGTACGCTGTCCTGGATGTGCTATACAAAGTTGATAATACAGAAGGTAACACCGGCATCACTGTTAACAGACCTTGCGATAGCTCTGACTCAGTGGACGAAGGTGATATAGAGAACGAAGATGAAAATGGTTTCGTCATCGAAGCTGACCCCCGTGGGGACATTCCCAAGCTATTGATATTAAAATTTTATTGATAACTAAAGTCCGGAAAATAGTAAAATTTCTCAAAGGTTCGCCTACTCGCATGGATATACTCAATTCTTCCTGGAGTCTAAAGACACGACACTGATCCTCGATTGCAAGACTCGTTGGAGCAGCCTTGCTGATATTATGATATAAAGAAGACGCAATTCAAAAGACATTAATTGATCTCAAAGAGAAGACTACCTTCTCAGATACTGAAGTATTAATTTTGAAAGATCTGTCTAGTTCTCTGAATTTCATAAAGGCCACAGTTGAAGAACTTTCCGAGCGAAAATCAAACTTACTAACTGCTGAAATTGCTCTTCAATTCATGATGGAGAAATTGGCGATGAACCCAGACGTTATTATTGGCCAGCTTAAAGAAGCTTTAAATAGAAGAATCATGCAGAGGAGAAACGCTACACTGGTAAGTATGTTACAGTACTTACATAATCCTACAAAATATTATGACGAAAGGAATACTCCTCATGCATTTTCAAAGGCATCCCATGCGGAAATAATAGCCTTAATTGAATTTTTTAAAAATTAAATGAGTCTTATTTTTGCAAAGATAAAGCTGTTACACCTGTCTTTGAAGCTGAGGATGACCAGCCTTTAAGAGAAATACAAAGACAGAGCAGCGCCTTGAACATGAGAGGGAACAGGAGACAGCAAAGACATTTAAGGAACAGTTAAAGACAAAAGTTAAAGAATCCTTGCACAATGCTGCCGAGGTATTAACAAAACATTTGTCCCAAAAAGATGACTTGGAAACATCTGTCAGGGTGGAAATGGCGTAATTAGATCGAAGTGGCCCTAAAAGCATTTATCTACAATGTGTTTACAATTTTTTACTTACCATCCCAGCTACAAGCGTTGAAGCAGAACGTGTATTTTCGGCTAATAGATATTTTTGCAATCATTTGAGATGTTCATTCAATGACGATATGTTAAACGCCCTCAGTTTCCTACGGTCATACTTTATGAACACAAAAAAGTAAATTTCTGTATTTTTAAGTAAGTGTGGATGATTAAAAAGGTTCCTAATTAAAATGTTGAAGTAATAATAATGTTTCTTTTCATAAACTTGAGCACTATTCGTAAAATTCGTATTATTCGGATATTTTTTATTCGGTTATTTGGAAAATCCGAATACCTTTTTTGGACGAATAATGCATGCCCTAGTGATGACACATTTTTCCAATAAATGCAAATGATATTCATGATCAATATATTGTTCTCCCAAGAAATTGTAAGCAGTAACTAATTGAACAAGTTGTCAACAAGCCAATGATTTTAAATTAATTAGATTTAGCAGAGCATTTAAGTTCTGTTTGTTTCAACTGCTTTATTTTCCTGGATCTGTACATAATCAATTTGTCCTATTTCCTTTCTTTTTGTAGAGTTGATTATATTAAATTATCCATTGTTTTCATCAGAACCTCACATAGATGCTGCGATAAAACACATGCTGGCTATGGGTTTCACTAATGACGGCGGTTGGCTGACTCGGCTGCTTGAGAGCAAAGATGGCAACATTGCTGCTGTACTTGATCTTCTCACTCCAGTTACTCCGAAGAAATAAATGCTCTCTAACATATATTATGATCCATTAGTAGCGCTAGTATTTTAAAGTGAATTTTGAAATTGGGTTTGCATATTATTAATTGGTGATACAGCTTATATTAAGAAAAAAAAAACTTAGCAGTACTATGCAGTACTTTGACAATGTTATTTTAAATGTAAGTTTCACTACAAGGTGATGGAGATAATAATTATATTTAATTTAGGTACATCTTATTTCTTTATTACATTGGTTTCTTTTTAAGTTACATTCCGTCATGACATAAAATTACACTTATTTTGGTTTTAAAGCCCTCTTAATATATTTATTTAAGGAAAAGTTTAATATTGTGATAATTTTTATTTTCTATGTATAAATTTCATCGGAAGTAATGTATCCTAGTATGATCATATTATGTACCTATATAATCTATTATAATATAAATATATGGGAATAAAAAATATCTTTGATTTATTAATCTTTATTTGAGAAAGCCATACGAATGTTTTTTCATAACAATAGTTTCCTGTCGTTCTCTTAAAAGAGCTTTGCCAAGTGCTTCATCTAAGCATTTTGCTGCAATTCTGAAACAAAATTTTAAATAAATGGTTTCGTCCTTCATTATAATCCTTAACTTCATTGCATAATTGCTGTCAACTGGTGGTAACAAGCCTAATACACGAATGCTCCGAGATAAAAGATTTTAATACACACAAAATATGCACCTTAACATAAGGTTTTAGAAATTCTGTTGCTAACTAAACTAACCACCGATAAAATTTACTTTTTTATTAAACGATTCATTGCGGATAGCATGCCAAGCGAGCCATTGAATTTTTTCTGTGTGGCATAAGACACGCGGGTCGCTCAAATTGCGATTTATTTTTTTGCTGAAGCTTTATTCAGAACAAAATATTATTTTGCAAGCAATTCATACCTACAGCCTTCCTTTCTGGATATTATGTGAATTTAAAATTTTTAGGGCTTGACAACCCTTTTTAACTTGTGGATGGCACTCTTTTATAGTGTGTGGGTCTTTAAAATCGTGTTGTAGAAAAATACTCTCAAATAATAGCACTCATCGCGATCGCCCATAAACTCAAGTTGTAAACAAGTTTCTGGAACGTCTCCTGTTAAAAAAATATATAATGCGTTTGTCTTATGGTTTAACCTTTTGAGCGCCACGCCAAAAACACATTACCGTGTCCTGTACACCAAAGCGAAAAGTAAACAAATTACCTAGGAAAAATTACCTAGTGTTGCCAAGAATTAATATATCGATAACACAAAATAAATTGTTTTTGTTGGTTTTTTATGCAATAAAGACTCTTTATAATCTTGTATGTTTTATTTAATCTTGTGCTGTCTTCCACTCTTTTTATATATGTACATAAATAAAAAACAAACAATAACAATAAAATAGAAGTAAACCACAGCACTACTCTCCATCGTGATGACGTCACTGTCAAGACTGGATGACAACGGCGTAGCCGTCCTTCCTTTTGAAACTTTCTTAGAGATGTGGCCGTGTCGCACACTGTATCAATTTCGAAATCGATCTAACCAAAACATACAGACATCGATTCAAAATATTTTATGTGTCAGGGGAGGCGTAGGTCAAGTGAAGCACAGAAAAAAGTCTTACGCTCTTATGACAATGGAGATTTGATATGATGCTGATGCTGCCAGATATTTTGAGATTGAGAAAGATTATCGCACAACACAAAATGAAAAATTGCTCTTCATATCTTAAGTAGGAGCCGTGGTAGCTTAGATGGTTAGCGCTCGCTGTAATCTTCACAGCACTCGAGCAACTCGGGTTCTATCAAGTGCTGATTTACCACGTGCTCGGCGTTGAAAGAAAACATCGTGGGGAAACCCGCATGTCAGAGAAATAAGAAAATAAAATATGTTTGAAGACATGTGAAGTTCGCCAACACGCATTTGGGCAGTGCGGCGGACATTTCCTTGCCCTAAAACCCTCTCAGAAATGAGAGGAGGCATGTGCCCAGCAGTGGGACGTAAATAGGCTGCATCTTTACTTACTTTACTTTAAGTAAAAAAAATCATTTATGATTTGTAATTTTATATTATTAAAATAAAAAAGGTACATAATTATTCACTAATCAACAATTGTATACAATTATTCGCACTAGGTAAATCAGTCAGAATCGTTCATGTTGCACTGCACTACTTTTCCCGCTAATCACTTATGACGTCATCAGGGTGTCTTCTATCCTTGACCACGGCGCCCAGCGAACTGATTTTCGATGACGCGCTAAGGATGCGCCAGAGTTGAGATATTAGATTTATTATGCGAAGATAATTTGAATAACATTTTTTTTTATTCATGTAGCTAATTATAGTTTTGTTTCTAACCTTTTGTTTTATTCAAATATCAATAATAACAAAACAAAAAATAACACGTTTGAGCTGAGTTTTGGATAGTTTTCAAGAAATCCTTGCCTCCCGCGTACACTAGCGGTCAACCATAGACGACTTTGGCGTGCTGGACATAGTATTTGATTAGATAAAAATCCATTTTTTTTTAGTTCAATGTTTCTTAGTACTTGTGGCTCTAGGAGACTTGTTTTTGATACTCACGTGTTGCTGGGTTATTCTTTTTTGAGGAGTGTAGAATTAAAATACCAGTAATAATTTTCCAATATCTATATTTCATATTTTTGTGGGCCGGGTTTTTGTCAACTATAGACGTCGTTGGCGATCAGGGCCCGCAGGTGCTGGTCAAGTATAGGCGACTTTGGCGGTCAAAAGATTAATTTAACTTAACGGTTAGGTTAACTTAATTAAACTGCAGTCTTATTATTCAGAGTGATCATGTGGCCGAATGGGCCTACGAAGGACCATGTGTTCTTGTGGTATGATATAAGGTTTATTTTTGCACGAAACAGTTCGAACGCGTACATGCATAAAAAGTTCGCAAAAAAAAAATGGAGTTTATTGTTCGTCCGCCGGCCAGCCGGCACAGCGCCGGCCGGCCGGCGGACGAACTAATCTACTTTTACTAATCAGACGTTCTGACATTATGTTTTATCGTCATCAATCTCTGTCCCAGGAATTGTATATACTTACGGTTTCGATTTAATTTTAAGAAAAATGAAAAATTATTGCTAATTTAACGGTGGTAGAGTCACGCAGCAGTTTTTGCTGTTGCACGTATGGGCCGGCTCAAGCCGGGTTGGTACCACGATCTCACAGAATACCGGCGTGAAGTAGAAGCTCTGCTTCTGCGTTTCGTCTGGTGAGTGCAGGTGGCCGGAGGCCCAATTCCCCCCCCCCCCCCCTATCAACATGGTAGCGGAATTACACGATAGACTACCTCACGAGGGTACCAGCACCCCTGGAGAATCCCTTGTTGAGCATCCACGACCATGTTATTCCGATCCTGAGCGTGAGTGCTCAGGCTGCCCCGCGTATTCTTGGGGGGGGGGGGGGCAAAATTCCGCTCAAAAACATAACTGCTCGAGGCAAACTGAGTAAGAATACCAAGGCCAAACCTAAACGCCGTCCACTACCATCTCGAGACGGCGAAGCCGGCCTTGCTCTTTCTGACCGAGACACAGGTTTCCTCTCCGGCTGATATTTCGTATCTCTCCTACCCGGGGTAGGAGAGATACGAAATATCAGTAGGGGTGTACAAATTGGAGCACTCCTTTGTGCCTCGGGCTGGAGTTTGCGTGTATGTCAGAGAGGACATCTGTTCTCGACGCCTCGGCAGTCTTGAAGGTTCGGACCTGTCCATCCTTTGGCTACGCGTAGACAACTGCGACGACCATCCGCGCGTCAACGGGTGCCTCTATAGGTCCCATAGCGGTAATGCCGAAACAAACCGACTCATTGACCACGTCCAAATGGCTACAGATTCCTTGCTACAACAGGTCCCATCCGCAGAGATCGTGACCCTTGGCGATTTTAACGCCCACCATGCCGAATGGCTCGATCTGTTTATAACTTTGCCTTGGCATATGGTCTGACACAACTGGTTACTTCGCCTACGCGGATTCCAGATGTGGAGGATCATACACCTTCCCTGTTGGACCTTCTGCTGACCTCTCATCCAGACGGATATCAGGTTTTCGTCGATGCCCCTCTCGGCTCTTCGGACCTTTTTCTGATCCGGAGTATGGTGCCACTCACGCTCCCTTCGTGGTTACGTTCTGCAGGTTGCCGCCGTGTTTGGCATTACAGGTCGGCGGATTGGGACGGAATGCGGTCTTTCTTTGCATCCTACCCATGGGGGCGGGTTTGCTTCTCGCCGGATGATCCCAGCGCTGTTGCTGACTCTGTCACTGATGTGGTGCTACAGGGAATGGAACTATTTATTCCATCGTCTGTGTTACCCATCGGAGGCAGATCTCAGCCTTGGTTTGGTCGCTCCTGTAAGACTGCATTACCCAGTAAGCAGGAGTATTATCAAGCCTGGGCTGCGGCTTCGGCGACTCGGCATGTAAACACCAGCACACTTAAAAAGAAGTATAACTTCGCCTCAAGGTCCTTCAAAAGAGTTATTGCCAAGGCAAAGTCAGAGCACATAGGCAGAATTGACGAGAAACTAGTTCGCCTTCCTTCGGGAACCCGTGCATTCTGGTCTCTCGCCAAGGCTGTCCAAGGGAATTTCTGTAAGCCATCACTACCATCTCTGCACAGGGAGGACGACTCACTGGCCCAAGACGCAAAAGACAAAGCCGACCTTTTAGGCTCCCTTTTTGCGTCCAACTCGACTCGTTGATGACGGGGGGAAAACACCGCCGACCATCCCGCGGTGTGAGTGCTCCATGCCGGTTGTGCTGTTCTCATAGCGCTCGGTTCGCAAAGCACTCCTCTCCCTGGACATCCAGAAGTCGAGTGGGCCTGACGGAATCCCCCAATTGTGCTGAGGACGTGTGCTCCGGAGTTGGCACCGGTCCTAACGCGTCTTTTCCGGTACTCCTACTCCCAAGGCGTAGTCCCGAATTCATGGAAGACAGCTTTTGTCCACCCGATCCCTAAAAAAGGCGACCGCTCAGACCCGTCCAACTATAGGCCTATCGCGATCACCCCTTGTTCTCCAAAATAATGGAATCCATTATTAACTGCCAGCTCATCCGGTACCTTGAGGATCGCCAGCTGATTAGTGACCGCCAATACGGTTTTCGTGGTCGATCAGTGATCTTCTGGTTTACCTGACCCATAGATGGGCGGAGGCAGTAGAGTCCAAGGGGGAGGCGTTGGCCGTTAGTCTGGACATTGCGAAGGCCTTCTATCGGGTTTGGCACAAACCGCTTCTTTCGAAGCTCCCTTCCTATGGGCTTCCCGAGCCAGCTTCCTTGCGAATCGGAGCATCAAGGTCGTTGTAGACGGTGCATGCTCCGACTACAAGCCTATTAACGCTGGTGTTCCACAAGGCTGTGTGCTATCACCAAGAAATAGTCTTCTGCATATCAATGATATGTTGCTAACTGGTAACATTCATTGCTATGCGGATGACAGCACTGGTGATGCTCTATACACCGGCTGTGCCAATATTTCTCGGGAAAACGTCGCCGAGTATCGGAACAAACTTGTGTCTGAAGTCGAGTCTTTG